TAACGAGCCTCGCGCTAACGAAGCCTCACCCGTCGCTCCAGGCGCCCGTCCACTCCACCTCTCCCCAGGGATTGCGCATCCGGATGAGCTCCAGGGCCTGCCCGCGGTACCGGACCTGCGCGGGGGCTCCGTCAGCGCCAAATCCCACCCAAACCCCCCCAAAAGCGGCGCCGGGCCTCACCTGCTGGGCGCCGGTCACCGAGTAAGCGTGGCCCTTCACCAGCTTCTTGAAGGTCACCGCCTCCATGTCGAAGGCGCTGGTTATCTGCGGGGAGCGGCGGTGTTGGGAGCGCCGCCGTCCCGCCGGGATTCCCCCCGGAACGCCGGCGGCCGCGGCGCACTCACGTCGATGGAGCAGCCCAGCAGGGAGCCGCGCTCCAGAGCCTTGAGGATGATCTGGTAGAGGTCGGCCGGGGGCCGGCGGAGGTCGAACCACTCGGTGACGCCGCCCGTGAAGTCCTCGAAGCCCTCGGAGGTGCTGCCGCCCGACAGCGCCTCGTAGCAGCCGTTCACCCTGCGCGGCAGCCGGCGGCGTTCTCGGGGGGTTCTGCCCCCCAAAAAACGCCGCGGGGAGAGGGGAGGGGCCCTACTTGGCGTAGGCCTTCTCCAGCAGCGCGCTCCAGAACTCGGAGCCCTCGGCCGAGTGCACGAAGAGCAGCTTCCCGTCCTTGGTGGGCAGGAAATCGTCCACCACCACGTCCAGCCACTCGCCAAACTGCCAGATCTGGGGGGAGCAGGAGGAGGAAGCAGCCGGGTTAGCCAGGGAAGGAGATTCTGGGGGAAAAAACGCCCGGTTTGGGGTCCTACGAGGCACCGGGGGGAGTTGCCACAGTGGGAGAGGGATGCAAGGAACTGGGTGGGGGAAAAAGGGTCCAAAATAACGGGGAATCCTCCCAAAATTGGAGGTGTGGCTGAAATTGCGAAGAGAACCCCTAAAACCTTGGAGGGGTCACTTCAGAACTGCAGAGTGGAGCCCCTAAACTGCGGGGGATCCCCTCAAAACGCTCACGAGGAGGCCCCAGATGGCACAGGAACCCCTCAGAACGACAAGAGGAGGCCTGAAGCGCCGGTGGGAGCCCCAAAACCTCCTGATTTCCCCTCAAAACGACCGAGGGGATCCCCAAGGCCGGGCTTTGCTGACCTGGAAGTGGAAGATGCCGGCGTAGCCCTGCTGGAAGCTCTGCCCGTGCGGCACCACGCGGTGCAGGAGGGTCTCGTTGAGCGTCAGCGACGCGATGGCCGCCAGCAGCCAGCAGTCACCTGCGAGGAACCAAAACCGGCCAATTCCCACCAAAACCACCCCAAAAACAACCCCAGACCCGCAGAGAAGAGCGGGGCCGCCTCACCCAGCGCTCCCTGGCAGATGTCGGTGCGCGTGGCTCCGTCCACGATGAACCGCGGCCGCGGGCACAGCTCCTGCGGGAAACCCCCAAAATTGGCGACGTTCGCGCCTTCCCGCGGGGATTTCGGCGAGGATCGGCGCCGGATCGGTGCCGGATCGGCGCCGGGCTCACCGTGGGTCTCTTCCACTGCACGCCGTGGGTTTTGGAGGAGCCGGGGCCCAGCTCGCGGAAGCCGAGGGAGGAGGCGGCCGGGGGGAACGCGGGGTCCCGGAACAGGGTCCCGGAGCGCCGGCACTCCTCGGCCAGCTGCCCGAAATCCTGGCCCAGGTAACGCACGGCGTTGTCGTGCCGGCCCAGCCCCAGCTCCTTGGCTCGCTGCCGCCGCACCTGCGCCGAGACGCCGGTGC